TGATGGAGACAATGGTGATTTTTATTATATTATTATTATTATTAATATTATTAATTAATAATTATTACCATTATTATTGCGATCATTGCTATTATGGTTGTATTATATTGTACCGAGGAATATATACTGAGACAAGAATGATAAGAGTCCAATTACACGTGAGTGAGTGCAACAGTGTCGAGTAAAACGATAATGAAGAATAAATCCAAGGGGCGTCGTGTCATTTGTACTTAATTATATCACCTAAATGCGGACCAGGCTGCAGAGTCTTGTCAGATGTGCCATCGTGTTTCTTTCTTTCCATTTCCACTGATACTGTTGAAGTCTATCACGCGATAACAGATCCTTGAAACGGCATTTTCTTTTCTTTCTCAAAGAAAAGGGATCTCTTCGTAGGAATAAATCCAGGAAACAAACTTTGTCCTTCGAGAATCGTGGAAATTTTTGCAAACGCGTGAACGAAATTTACGGATGTGTAACTATCGAAATAACCGATACTCGACTTCTTTTTCTTGTTTTCTTTTCTCAATAAAGTTACCAAAGTTAAAAATACTCAGATTGAGGTATAAGTGATACCAGGATGCAATACATATGAAGTTGATATGATTTTTTATCGAGCCACGTTTTAATTTAACAGAAAAATCAGATTTCTTTGAAAACAAAAATAAAATTTTTTTCTAAAAAGCAAGTAGTATATCGAAGTCTGTAGAGATAATTTTGCTTTTATTATACTGAAATTCTACTTTCAACTTTATGTAATAAATATGATATGAAATTTTTTGCAATCAATCTAGTAGTATCGATATTTGTATTTTACAAAAATGTATCAGATATACTTTTACCGATATCTGCTTTTTACAATTACTTTGTTCTTATGACTGCTTACTTCTGAGTATCGAAATAATCTGGAATATCTGAATCAACTCTCTTTGAGACTGTACATCGGGCAGCGGAATTTTTTATTAATAATATTCTGTCCGTTTCGGATGTACAAACGTATCAAATCGTATTACATCGACCAATAATTCTTTTATTTTCAGCTTAGATTTTTCTAGAAAAATGTACACACATACGCATATACACAAAGCCCATTGAAAGCGATTTTGTAAAAAATGGGCGAGTCGGAAAAAGTCGTTGAAAAAAGCACTTTAAGAAATCATACATTTTTAAACTTCAGCACCGATTAATTTTATAGCCCTTAAATTATTTTTGAATTTTTTTTAGATTTCTATTTAATTAAATTGAAGTAACTAATAATTTTAAAATATATACTTTTCTTCTTTACATTAAAGATTAATTTTAAAAATGTTATAAAATGACAAATGCTAGTAGTTACAAAATTATTAAAATTACTATTATTGTTAAATTAGATAAAATTAGTTAAATAATTAGTTAAATATTGTAATATTGCAGCTGTTGTGATTAAATTTGTATAATTTTTTTATTTTATTTACCAATTTATCAATATATATTTGATTATTGAAATAATTGGTTAATTATTTCAATTATTATAATTAATTTCATTTAATTCTTTTAACTCAATATTGTAAGAATAAAATAGACTATAAAGCAATATGAAAAATTTTATCTTGAATTTGGAAAAGAAAATTGTTTTATTTAATTTTACAAGAGCGAGTTTCTTTCGATTCACCTGTTTTTCTCCTTGAAAAAAAGATACGGATGAGCCATGCATCCTTTTTCATTCTACAAAAGATGAGATGCGTAAGATGAATTTCTCACGCGCGTATTCGTCCCACGAGAATTTCGACGCAAGGTCTTATGTTTTTTGGTTCGTACAAGAGAAATCGAAATATTCGTACATTATTTCTTAGCGAGCCGAACCAATGCTCAATGCGATGCTGCTTGGTCTGAAATCGATAATAAAGAAAAGCTGATGAACCACGATTTTCTTTACCTGTATCGTCC